AAACCCATCCATTCTTTAGAAATGCCAACGCTCTTTCACCATTGACTCCTATTGTTCTTCAGATATTTTTTCCTCTCTACTTCAGACACAAAGCCTCCAATCAACTGCAAGAGAATCACCTATTTTTTTTTCCTGCCTTACTTCATTGTGGTAATGTTTCCTGTGTTCCCAACAGGGAATTTTGTCATTCATGCTCATTCAAGATATTGCTGTGGATGCATGCAAGAGAGGTTGTAGTTGCTCTCTGGAGTTGAGTGCTTACAGCTACATCATGATTTTACTACTGATTTGCTGCGGTCTACATGTGATCTGTTGCCTGTGTCCAATGTTGAGGGCACTGATAGGTGAATCATCCCCATCTTTTTTTACTGCTACCAAAGCCACTGGCTCTGTCTTCCATCACTGCTGAAGCTGTCGACAACAATGTCTCTAATGCCTTGCATTTTGAATGGTATATATATATATCATTGAAAATCTATAAAGACTATATATATATGGTGATTTATTGAAAATCTATAAAATTTATAGTTATTTGAGTTTTGATATTTACTCACTCTTTTATCATAGCCCCTTGCTTTAAGATGCAAGTTGGAGTAAATTAGTACTTTTTTTGGACAGGCACATGATAATTAAGAATCATCTCTTTCTTATGTCAGTCAATAGCATATCCTTGAACCAAATCTCTGTCACTTAACTCTTCCTTCCATTTCAGATCAACTATTTATCAAAGCAATGTGGCACTGGCATAAAGACAAACATAGAGATCAATGCAATAGAATAGAGAGCCCAGAAATAAACCCTTCCATATGTGGTTAAATGATTTTTAACCAGAGTGCCAAGACCATTCATTGGAGAAAGGGCAGTCTTTTGCACAAAGGGTGCTGAGAAAACTGGGTGCCCACATGCAAGAAAATGAAGTTAGAACCTTACCTTGCATGATATACAAAAATTAACTTGAAATGAATCAAGTACCTAAGTTTAAGACCTAAAGCTATAAAACTCCTAGGGAAAAACATAGGGCAAAAGCTGCATGACATTGGATTTGACAATGATTTCTTGGATCTGACAAAAAAGGGACAGGCAACAAATGAAAAAAAAAAAGACAAATTGGACTTCAAGCAAACTGAAGATTTTTGTGCACGAAAAAATGTCAACAGAGTAAAACAGAGTAAAAAGGCAACCCAAAGAAGTGGAGAAAATGTATGAAGATCATGTATCTAGTAAGGGATTAATATCTGGAATTTAGAAAGAATTCCTAAAACTCAGCAACAACAACAACAAAAAAACCCCAAGCAACCCAATTCAAAGATGGGCTTGAATAGACATTTCTCCAAAAAAGATATACAAATGGCCAAGAAGTTCATGAAAAGACACTCAATATCCCTCATCATTAGGGAAATGCAAATCAAAACTACAATGACATACCATCCTACAAACCCAATATGATGGCTACTATAAAAAAAAACAAAATAATAAATGTTCTTGAGGATGTGGAGAAATTGGAATGCTTGTGCTGTATTAGTGGGAATGTAATCTGGTCTAGCCACTATGGAAAACAGTAAGTGGTTTCTCAAAAAGTTAAAAATAGAATTACCATATGATCCAGCAGTTCCACTTCCGGGGATATAACCAAAATAACTGAAAACCCAGTATCAAAGAGATATTTGTACATCCATGTTTATTTCTGTATTATTCATAATAGCTAAAACGTGGAAGCAACCCAAGTGTCCATCTATGGACAAGCAAAATGGAAAAGCAAAATGTGGTATTGTACATACAGAGGAATATTATTCAGCCTTTAAAAAAAAGAAATGCTGATATATGCTACAACATGGATGAACCTGGAGGACATTATGGTAAGTGATGTAAGCCAGTCAAAAAAAGACAAATACTGCATGATTCTACTTAGATAAGATACTTAAACGCAGTCAAAATCATAGAGACAGAAAGTGTAATGTGGTTGCCAGGGGCTGGTGGGAGAGGGGAAAGAAGAGTTATTGTTTAATGGACATAGCATTTCAGTTTTACAAGATGAAAAAGGCTATGGAGATGGATGGTGGTAATGATTCCACAACATTATGAATGTACTTAATACCACATAATTGTACATTTAAAGATGGTTGACATGGTGAGCATAGTACCTTCTAGTTCCATCCAGGTAGTTGCAAATGGCAAGATTTCATTCTTTTTGATGGCTGAGTAATACTCCATTGTATATATATGCCACATCTTCTTTATCCATTCATCCATCGATGGACATTTGGGCTCTTTCCATACTTTGGCTATTGTTGTTAATGCTGCTATAAACATTGGGGTACTTGCGTCCCTCCGAAACAGCATACAAATTAGTCAGAGAAAGACAAATATGACTTCACTCATATGAGGACTTTAAGACATAGAACAGATGAACATAAGGGAAGGGAAGCAAAAATAATATAAAAACAGGGAGAGGGACAAAACATAAGAGACTCTTAAATATGGAGAACAAACAGAGGGTTACTGGAGGGGTTGTGGGAGGGGGGATGGGCTAAATGGGTCATGGGCACTAACGAATCTACTCTTGAAATCATTGTTGCACTATATGCTAAATAATTTGGATGTAAATTAAATAAAATTAAAAAAAGATGGTTGAGATGGTGAATTTAATGTTATGTGCATTTTATCGTAATAAAAAATTGAAAAAAGATGTTATCAAACAAAATGGAAGACTCATTTCAGGTAGCTAGGGAGTCAAGCCAGTTGTGTATGCACATAATAGGCATCCACATTAATGAGTGCATGGCTATCTTAAACACAATTTCATAGATTTTTTTTTAATTTTTTTTTCAACGTTTATTTATTTTGGGGACAGAGAGAGACAGAGCATGAACGGGGGAGGGGCAGAGAGAGAGGGAGACACAGAATGTGAAACAGGCTCCAGGCTCTGAGCCATCAGCCCAGAGCCTGATGCAGGGCTCGAACTCACGGACCGCGAGATCGTGACCTGGCTGAAGTCGGACGCTTAACCGACTGCGCCACCCAGGCGCCCCCATAGATTTTTTTTAATGTTTATTTATTGATTTTTGAGAGGGAAAGCAAGGAGGGGTAGAGAGAGAAAAAAAGAGAGAATCTCAAGCAGACTCCTCACTGCCAGTGCAGAGTCTGATGTAGGGCTCAAACTCACAAAGTGTGAGATCATAACCAGAGTCAAAGTCAAGAGTCAGATACTTAACCTATTGAGCTACCCAGGCATCCCTTGTAAATGTGTTTTTTCCACAAAGTGAACATTTTTTAGAGAGGGGATCAAAAATGTTGCGTGTGGATGAGCATTTCAAGTTTTTGTGAGGTTTTCTTTCAGAAGAGGCTCTCCTCTCTCTTTATTTCCTCCATCCTCTTAGGTTCCTATTCTTTCTGGTAAAATTATTATTTCTTTATATCTGGTAGAATTATTATTATTATCATTATTATCATCATCATCATTGTGGTAAAAAGCACATAACATGAAATACACCCTCTTAAATTTTTAAGTGAGAAGTACAATATTAATAACTATAAGCACAGAATGTTAGATGTATGTATGGTCTGCTCTTCTCTTTTCCTTCCCAAGGAGAAGCCAGGAGGTAGGAATTTCCTCTCCATTGTGTGATGTTGTGCCAGGGAGAGGGATCATGGCAAGACAGTGCCGTGAATTTTCCCACCAGCTTCAGTGTGGCTGTGCGCTCTCCTGGGGAGCAGGATCCTATTACCTGTCTGGATTTCTCATAAAGGGAATTGGTCTGCATATTGTTGAATCAGTGATTCTGTCGGAGGAAAGAGGGTCTGTGGCATCCTATGCCACCAAATTGCTGTCATTACTCCTCTGTCATTCCTCTGTTTAGTACTTGTTCTTGTTACACACAGAGGCTTTTATGGTTTGAGTACTTGAGAATGTGATTGCCAACAAATCATGCTCTGTGCTTTTTATCTGTATTGAAGGAAACAGTTAAGAGATAAAGATGTAATGATAGACACTATTTATTGAGCACTTGTACTGCATCAACAGTTATCCTGAGTCTTTAGACAGTGATATTTAATTTTCACAAAAAAACATTGTGGATATGTTACTCATATTTTCCCAATTTTATGGAAGAGGAAACATATTCACAGAGAACATATTTAGCTTGCCCCATTATTATGCAGCTTATTAGTAGAAGAACTGGGAAGAGAAGCAGGAAGTTTAACTCCAGAGCCCATGCCCGGGAGCCAGCGACAGTACATGGTAATTGTCACACTCGTGTAGCTTACCTCGGTCGGTCGTTGTTCGAGAAGTAGAAAACAATAGGAAAAAACAATACAAGAACATAAAAATAGAAGAAAACTCAGAAAATCCTCAAAATTCAGTGTCCAACTTGGAACATGCATTATAGGTGAAGGGGTTTTTGTTGTAATTTGTTTTTGCTGTTGTTCTGGTTCTGTTTTTAAAGTTATTTTTATTTTTCATAGTTGAAAAGTATTTTTTTTGTTGTTTAAAAACAAGCAGTTTCAAAACACTCCTCATATTCCTTTTGTTGTAAATAAGAAAAAAATAACAGCTTTATCTTCTAGAAAAATAATGAAAAGAGAATACAATTGGTGTTTTGCCAAATTCAAATATGGATCTCCCTGAAAGTCTGTGATAATTAAGATATAGTAAGGGTTTTTTAGGTTGAAATAATATTAGAAATTATTTTTTTTTAATTTTTTTTTTCAACGTTTATTTATTTTTGGGACAGAGAGAGACAGAGCACGAACGGGGGAGGGGCAGAGAGAGAGGGAGACACAGAATCGGAAACAGGCTCCAGGCTCTGAGCCATCAGCCCAGAGCCCGACGCGGGGCTCGAACTCACGGACCGTGAGATCGTGACCTGGTTGAAGTCGGACGCTTAACCGACTGCGCCACCCAGGCGCCCCTAGAAATTATTTTTAAGATGAAAGAGATTTTTGTTATTTTGCAGCTGGTCCTGTTGGGTCAGATTGTCATGAATATTTTTCTTCATTTCTAGCCTCCTCCTTGTGAAACAGCTCCTGTCATAGCAAAGGTCCTGGAAGTCGAGCCACCTGTTCCTTTATCTGCTATACCCTACAGCAGCCCAGCAAGCTTCCTAACTTGGATCCTGGAGTCCTGTTGTCCCTATTCCCACACAACTACCTCTTCCCGATTTTCTGTGAAGATACCTGGGGCTCAGACTTGAGCTGCTGGTAGGTACAGTCAAGTGTTTTGATTCAGCTTAATTGTCCTCCAAGAGGTTTTAGCATAAATATCTCCATCATATTTCTTTATTATATCAACCCTGGTCATTAATATTTATAAGAATTTTTGTCAGTTTTGTGATTTCAAAATGCTATAATTGTTTTGATACACACTGAGATTGACTGACTTTTCATTTACTTGTATTCTTTTGTGATATGTCTGTGTCATTTGCTTTTCTGTTAACATTTGTTTTATGGTTTGTAAAAATTCCTAGCAAATTGAGTATATTAACTCTTTGCTTTTCAAATAATTTGTAAATATTTTCTCACATCTCTAAAATTGTCTCACTTCCAGATATGGTTTTTGGGTGCATCGATGGTTTTGATTTATCAAGTTCACATTATGCTTAAAGTAGCTCATGCTTCAAGCTTATATTTCTTAGTTTTATAAAAATGATCCTTCTGTTATATTTTATCTATCTCCCATTGTATATTTTATCTATCTCATCTAAATTAAGAGGACAACTGATTTCTGGGGAGATTACATTGTATGAGCTAGGGAACTCTATATTTTTAACTGTGAGTTGGAGAACACAGTGCCATTTATTTTTCTTGAATACATTTGATTTTTGTATTTTCTCATTAAGGGAAAAACTGGTTTTTGGTTTGATCTTTGATGTTCTGTAAGCATTTTGGTTTACATTTTATTCTCAATCCCCATATCTTTCCCCTTCAGGAGACTGGCAGTTACTTTATGAGATAGTTCTTCCACCGTCTTCCTTTTCTCTCTTAGCTCTCCTTGGCACCACCTTTCCTTGCTCTTGACTCTCACTTATAATTCACTTTCATGTAATTTTCCTCAGAAGTATCCCAATCTCATAGGATTTTTTTTAAAAAAATTTTCTTTCAACGTTTTTATTTATTTTTGGGACAGAGAGAGACAGAGCATGAACGGGGGAGGGGCAGAGAGAGAGGGAGACACAGAATCCGAAACAGGCTCCAGGCTCCGAGCCATCAGCCCAGAGCCTGACGCGGGGCTCGAACTCATGGACCGCAAGATCGTGACCTGGCTGAAGTCGGACGCTTAACCGACTGCGCCACCCAGGCGCCCCCAATCTCATAGGATTTTTAATAAACTTTTTATGGGAGTATTATATGCAGAAAAGTGTACATATATTTTCTCAAAAACGCATGTAGTTAGCACCCTAATAATTAAAGAGTCTTGTGAACAACCCAGAAATCCCCCCTTTGCCAACACCCAATCAGTATCTTTACTCTTCCCTCAAATTAACCATTGTTCTGATATACCATAGATTAATTTTTTCTGAGTGTTATATAAATAGAAATATACAGTATGTACCAACAACATAATATTGGTTTTTTGCTCAGCATTATGCTTATTTTTGCATAATTTTCCATAATTATAGATCATTCATTCTCATTGCTATGTGATTATAACCACAAATTTATCCATTTTGTTGTTGGTACACATTTGGGTGGTTACTGATTTTTGGCTATAAATAATCATTTTGCTATGAATATTCCAATACATGTCTTTAGGGGAACATGTACATATCATTACAACCTGATTAGCTTTTCTTAGATTTCCTGGCTTATTTTTGACCTTCTGACTGCCTAGATTGGTCTACTATTCCCAGAAACCCAGTGATTGAAGACCCAAATTTGAATTTTGAAAAACAGGACTATGGATTAGGCAAATGTAGGCCAGCCTGGTTATATGCATATAATACTGTTCAAACATATAGTTTTTTGCACTAAATCTTGTGGGTGAAATAGTCTGGATAAGGAAAAAAACTTTAAATTTGGATGAGAGAGGTGCCTTTTCTGACACGGCTTCATTTGGAAGTTGTTTTGGCTGAGGTTTCTTATGTACTAAGTCATTTGGGGAAATTTATTTCCTAATGAACATAAGCTAGTAAGATATTTTAGTATAAAACTAATTCATACAGGAGCACATTTTTAGCTGGTTTCACTTAGATAAAACCCAGATATTTGTCCTTTTTGATGGAACTGTAGAATTAATTTATTTATAGTTCTTGAGTGTTATCCATGGGTTACTGTGACATACATCCTGGGAACACTTGTGTTGAGTGAATGAGAATTTCTCAGCACAGGAGACTAGAACAACCTCATGTGAAGTCACTCTCAGGACCAGTGTGACTGACTCTTGCCCTGAGATCTGTTTTTCATATGTTCAGTGATGTTCTGCATTCAGCCTGCGGCAGAGCCGTACCACTTAATTCTGGGAGGCTTTCTACTGGGCATCAGTGATTTCCTTTCCTAAACTGCAAACACAACTGCCCTTCTGTGGAGGAAAGCAGACAGGTTTGCCTTGGCCAAAGTCTAATGGCCCAGAGTCAAGCCCTTAAGTGCTTTTTCAAGTGCCCAGGATCGGTCTGTTTGGTAGCCCAAGAAGGAAATTACCCAGTCATTTCTGTTCTGGCATTTACCAGTACACAGATGTTTCTTTTGATTTTGTAGGAGAACAAACTTGAACTGGCACTTTTCCTGGAGAGGAGGATACAACTGGTAGGAGATATAAAATATTTTGTATTGACCTAGTTGTATTAGAGAATATATTATGAAAAATAATACTCGATAATATTTTTATCCAAGTGTTCCTTGTCTGTTTCACATAACAGTGTTAGAAACTCCCACAAAACTCTAGCAAAAGCTTGAAATTTACAGGTATCTGTTCCAATGTTTCTTAGTATATGGACCAAAGCCCTAGTCCTTGGGACTAGTCTTTCGGAAAGGGGCCTAAGAATTTCCATTTTTATCAGTCATCTCAGGTAATTTTGATATACACTAACATATGAAGACATATGGCTTAAACTCCAAAGCACACTCAGCTGAATTTACGAGCTAAAATCTGTTTGAGAATAGGAGGAAATTTAAGTGGCAACAAAATGATACCAATTTACCTGGATCAATTGAAATAGTTAAGCATTATTTTAATTGTTTAATTTTAGTCATGCCCTAGAATTTTTTTGTAAGGCTTCAGAGATATAACTTAGAATGGACTCTGTGTGGTGTAACTGTCTCATGAACACATTCATTTATCAGAAGCTAAATGCTTTTCAATTTGATCTTGAATAGACCTTCATTATAGACAATTCCATTCTGTAGACAGTAAGGTTATGGTAGACACATGGTGCACATGGAGCTAGGCTGCTGAGGTCTTCTCCAGGATGCACTTTTTTGTCTAGCGTCATTACTTTGTCACATTTTAGTTCAACTTTTATAACATTGCCATGAACTGTTCTTCACTCTTGTTGCCATAGAGGAGCAGATGAGGAGAGAAGAGAAAGACAAAAGTGAATGAATTTTTTTTAATCTATTAAATGGGAAACCTGGTCTACAAGAGTTAAGAGGAGCTCGTGTCTAAATTCCATGCGCCTTCTTTTTTTTTTTTAGTAACCTATATGTAAGCTTATCTGTTTACATTTCTTAAATAATTATCTTTTTGTACCCATTCATCAGTTGATGGACATCGGGCTCTTTCCATAATTTGGCTATTGTTGAATGGATAAGGAAGATGCGGTACATATATGTATATACAATGGAATATTACTTGCCAGTCAAAAAGAATGAAACCTTGCCAATTTGCAACAATTTGGATGAACTAGGGTGTATTATGCTAAGTGAAATTAGTCACAGAAAGACAAATAATAGGTAGTAAATAAATATAAATGATAAATACATCATATAATTTCACTTATATGTGGTATTTAAGAAACAGAACAGATGAACATAGAAGAGGTAAGGAAAAAATAAGATAAAAACAAAGAGGGAGGCAGTCGCTATAAGAAACTCTTAAATACAGAGAACGAACTGAGGGTTATGGAAGGGAGGTGGATGGGGGGATGGGCTAAATGGGTGATGGGCATTAAGGAGGGTACATGTTGGGATGAATACCAGGTTTTACATGTAAGTGATAAATCACTAAATTCTACTCCTGAAACCAATACTACACTATATGTTAAGTAATTAGGATTTTTAAAAACAGTATCTTTTCATAAAGAAGTTATAATACTTCTATATATACTTCCATATATAACTATATATAACTATATATATATATATATATATATATATATATATATAACAGTATAATACTAATACTGTTAAAAACAGTATCTTTTCATAAAGAAGTTAGGGGTGCTCTGTTGGTTGAACATCTGAATCTTGATTTCAGCTCAGGTCATGATTACAGTTTGTGGGATTAAGCCCCATGCCAGCCAGACTTTGTGCTGCTGGCAGGGAGCCTTGCTCTCCCTCTGTCTCTGCCCCTCCCCTGCTCACATGCACTCACACACTGTGTCTCAAAATAAATAAATAAACATTAAAAAAAAAAGAAGTTATAATGTTTGGATTTGGCTTCATACCAAACATGTGCTTTCAGTGTTAATCTTAGCAGTATTATTTCCTTTTTAACATTTCTTTCCTTGCTGTCACTTCCTACCCTGAGGATTTAAGTTTTCCATGTCTCTGTGAATGGTAAAATCTTAATTATATCCTGATTGACAAAATATAAACCAAGCTTAATTACTAGTACCAGATACTATACCCTAAATTTTTCTCTATTTTAAAAAAAGAATCAGAATAACGTCTCTCAGCTATTTAAGATAACTTTTAGACAGCTCCAAAAGCATAATCATCCACAAACTGAACTTCAAACTGGTTTATGCTGTAACTTTTTATAATTTGGAGTGTTTAAGAGTTTGAGTATTACTTTATCATCTCCATTTGATTTCTGCTGAGCTATAGTGTAATAGCACTTTGCCTTTGTTAATTGTGTAAATGTGGATTTATGGACTTTATATTTTTAATTACAATTTTAGGAAGGTTTTTATAAATTACTATGTACTCATTTATTCATTCTTTCAACAATTTATTTTAGAGTACTGATTGTTGGTCAGCCACCCTTCTTTGTACTGGAGATACAACGGAGGACAAAATTGGCAAAAAAACCCTGATCTCATAGAGCTTTTTGTAGAGGGAGGAGATAGGCAATGAAAATAGCAAATATGAACTATAAGTTAAAAAAAATATTGCTATGGGGTAAAAAGAGTGGGGTAAGAGGGGTGGGAAAGGTTGGTGATGACCTTCATGCTTATGATCTTGCTTACATACCACAGAGCATCAGAATTAACATTGGGATGCTAAATATTATTTACATTGGGTTTTTTACTTTATATAGTGTAGATACCTGTGTTTTATTTTCTAATTTATAACTGGGATTACTGATGTGTTTCAAGAATCCCCTGAATTTAAAATTTTCCTAAAATATGGCCTTATCTGGATAGTCTACTTGGAAAGTATAGCTAAGTGAAGTTAAAAAAAATTTTTTTTAATGCTTATTTATTTTTGAGATAGAGTGCCAGCAGGGGAGGGGCCAGGAGAGGAGACACAGAGTCCAAAGCAGACTCCAGGCTCTGAGCTGTCAGCACAAAGCCCGACACAAGGCTTAAACTCATGAACCCAGAGATCACGACCTGAACCGAAGTCAGATGCTTCACTGACTGAGCCACCCAAGTGTTCCTAAGTGAAGTTTTATTTAAAAAGACAGACACTTGGGGCGCCTGGGTGGCGCAGTCGGTTAAGCGTCCGACTTCAGCCAGGTCACGATCTCCCGGTCCGTGAGTTGGAGCCCCGCGTCGGGCTCTGGGCTGATGGCTCAGAGCCTGGAGCCTGTTTCGGATTCTGTGTCTCCCTCTCTCTCTGCCCCTCCCCCGTTCATGCTCTGTCTCTCTCTGTCCCAAAAATAAATAAACGTTGAAAAAAAAATTTTTTTTAAAAGACAGACACTTAAAATTGTCTCTATTGGTTAAAGTGGGACCAGTTGGCATATTAAACCCCAGTAGGAAATTAGTACTTGTCTTTTTTTTTTTTAGTGCACTGAATTTATGTTAAAGTTGTAAATTTAAAATGCATTTAAAATAATGAGTTCTCTCACTAAAGAATTTTCTTCTCACTAAGAAATAAATTTCAGTGAAAAATTTTCTAAGTTATTAAGAGTTTGAAAAATGGCTTAGACTCATACTTAGAATGAGTAAGGAGAAAATTGGGCAACTTAAGTTATCTTTAAAGTGCTTGCAGTAAGATCTGAATACAACATCGAGTAAATGGGCTTTGGGCCAATAATGGACATGAAAATAGGCTACCTATGTCCCCCTCCAGGAGACTGTTGCCCAGCTATCAACTCCTTCAGGGTGGGCCTCCATTGCAGAGTGTCTCCTTACCTGATGTCATGTCCTTCTTATAGAAGGCCACAACTCACGACAGCCAGGCATACATTAAAAGTCTACTATTTCAGCCCCACATGGACTGTTGTGATGGGCCATGTGTATTCTACAGACAACTGACTACATAATTTTCAGGGCTCAATGCAAAATGAAAATGTGGACCACTTTATTCAAAACTTACTAAGAAGTTCAAGGAGATGACAGTGGAGTAATGAACAAGCACAGGGCACTTCTATTGCACCTACACAGCTTGTAAAGCTGACCCTGGCTCCACAGCATCCCTGGTTGCTTGGCCAAGGTGCTGTGAGGCTTGCATTGCAGTTCAACCTGGATTCCAAGCCAAGTCTTGTGTAACCAACCAATTACCTTATCCTAAAAAATATAAACTATACTTCTGCTGGTTCACTTATAGCTCTAACTAACATGATATGAACAACTCTGGTATCTATAATTCTGTTTTATATGTTATATCCTAATGTTTTACAGTGTAATCTCTGCCTTCCTACCTAAGTCATCATGAATATGATGCTTTTATTCATCCAGTTCATTTTTGCCCTTACACAGAGGTACCTCCAGATTCTTACTCAATTTGAGAGAAGGCTTCTATAAGAAAAACAGTATGAAATTACAAATACAAATTTGGTATGCAAATTAATATTTGCTTAAAATGAGAAAAGAAATAATAGTAAATATGAATTTAAAAACCAGACAAATGCCATGTATATAGGAGTTTTCTGACTGAGCTTTAACCAATCTTTTTAAGTTAATGTTTTTGGCTTCTACTAGGATACTTCCTTCTTGTTATATGTGAATTTTGGTATAACTAATAATTGTGAAAAATATACCAAACTAATAGTTCAACTCACTTGTACACAGCTGATGATTGGAAGAATTTTTCAGACTACTTTCTGCTTTCATGCATTTCAAAGCTTATTATTTTCTCCACTATTTCATTGCAAGGCACCATAGGACATGTTCATGTTAACATATACATTCTAGCCCTGAGCCTTTGTGTTAGTTGCTGGGCCTGTGAGCACAATGGGCAGGAGTATTTCTGGAAGTCATTCCTATACTGGGTCTGCTAGCAATATCTTAACTATATGTGGAAGGGACTGTGAAAAAATAAATATATCCCACTAAATCAACAATAAATGTATCCCCAACTCAACTCCTTTGTTGAATTCTCAGTATGCCTATGGCTGCTCCAACACTACTGGATCATAAGGGAAAGTGTGACAAAGAAGTCAGCATGGAAAGTGACCTTAATTGATTACAGTTATAATATCTTATGTTTTTCAGATTTTGTAAAGATATGATTATGTGCACACATTGTTAGGGCACATGCAAGAATTCAGAAGAGTAAATATACTCAACTTGTTTACACTGATTACAGACCTGATCCTCTTTAAGGAATTTCTGACCTCCACAGTTGATATTTTTCTATGACAATAAGATGCTGATGCCCGTTTTTTTTCAGGAAGTAAATAAATGCAAAGACTGTAGGGAGCTATTCAATATTATTTGTAACTAATGAATCTTCATTCTTAAATAATGAACCAGTGTTAATTTTTTAAATAAGTATTTTATTAAATTCATGGCACCTGGGTGGCTCAGTTGGTTAAATGTCTGATTTTGGCTCAGATCATGATTCCACGAACTGTGGGATTCAGCCCCTCCGCAGGGGCTGATGGCATGGAGCCTGGTTGGGATTCTCTCTCCTTCTCTCTCTATCCCTCCCCCACTCATGTGCACGTGCTCTCTCTCTCTCTCTCTCAAAATAAATACATAAACATTTAAAAAAAGAGGAAGCTTTATAGTTTAAAAAAAAGAATTATTATTATTTTTTTTTATTAAAGGAGGCAGGCCCATTACAATATTGTCACATGGAAATTTACTCTTGCCTCCCCCCTCCCCTTTCTTTTTAGTGTTCTTTCAAAGTAAACTTTTGCAATTTCTTCATGTTGGTCCTCACTGATCAATTAAATATTCATGGCTTGGTCCATACCTTTTTCTCCAACAAATTTAGATTTTATTAGATCTATTCAATAATAAAAATATGTACATTTTTTGAATATACATAATACGTCAGAAACAATGCTAAGGGCTCAGAGTATTACTGAGCTTATTTATTCCTTAATAACATTCTGAGGTGGTATTTCTATTTTCTCTGTTTGAAGGAATGGAGACTGAGAAAGCCCAGAAGCCCAATTTCACACAGCTAGTGAGTACAAATATCCAGAATAGAATTTAGAGTTGCTTGACCCCAGTTTGTGATCTTGACCATTTTATTATGCTATTTTTTCTTTAGAATCCTGCTAGCTACTCTGTAATATGACTTATTTAATCTTATTAATACATCCTAGTGAATATACAATCTCTAGCACTAGTAACAATATAATATTTTTTGTTTGTTTACATCTAGATGTTGAGATCTGAAGGCAGCAGATAGTTTTTGTATCTTTGAATTCTCATGTTCTATAACCTAGAGAAAAGAATACTGCATGAATAAGTGAGTTAGTGAACTGATGAATGAATCTAACAACAGCCAGTAGAGATTAGTGGCTTGACTCAAAGGGGTCACATTGTCTATAGAGAATTTTTAAAAACTAAACTACTGAGTGATGATCTGCTTTATGTTATCAGCCTCCACTGGCAATTCTAAACAATGTCAGTAACAAAATAATCCTATCCACCTGGGTGGATCACTCTCACTGTGCCACCTCCCCCTCCAAGCAATTGATCTCAAATCAGGGTACTGGATTTTTCAGTGAATATTCGCTGGCAACTATTTGGGGATTATCTTGTCTCTCAAGTAATCAGATGCCTCTTGGCTTCCCTTGACTTTCTTGTGAACCACTTTCTATCCCATGCAGGTTTGAGGCTGTTGGTGGTGTGTCCCCATACATTTGGATATTAGCCATCTAATTTTGTTGTAAATGTAGTCAATGGGTTTTAGTTTTACTCTTCCTTCCATTTTTGGGCAGGTTTCCTGGAAGACCTAAAAACTGTACTGTTTCTACTTTTGTCATTTTCCCAGAATCCCCCTGGGTATTTTAATTTTTAATCTTTGTCAGTATGACATGAGAATGGTAGCTTACTGTTTTTAACTTTTCATTACTTGATTTTTAGTAAGCCTGATAATTATTTTCATATGTATTTATTTATTATTGGCCTTTTTTTTGTAATTTGCCTATTCATAGTTTTGCCCCCCCCCCTTTTTTTTTTACTGGAGTCTGCCTTTTTCTTAATGATATGTAAGAACTCTTCTCAAAATATCAATCTTAATTCTTTGTCTATCACAAGTTATGGTAACAACAACAACAACAACAGTAATAATAATTTGTAATGGTGTGGCACTTGTCATCTAAATTTATTTTGAAATAATATAGTTTTGAACTTTAGCTGAATCAATGTCTCAGTATTTTTTCTTTGTGGTTTTTGGTTATATTTAGAGAGAACTGCCTACTGGTTGTTGAAGAATTTAATAAGTTTTACTGATGAAAAATATTTCACTAATGTCACTACAGGGCAAAGAACAATGAAGTCTTGGAAACAGCCTATTGTCTTAATATGAAATGATACCAAAGTGTTGTTCCCATTCATAGATGATCTCTACATGCTCTAGTGTATTAAATAAATAATAACTAAGTTTTATTCAGTGCCTTATAATTTAAAGACTTCTTTCACTTACAAAATTTGGGTCTTACAATAGAAAAATAACTGCCTGAAGTCAGCAGCAATGATTTCCTTTCCAAGTGAATTCTGACTAATTCTAAATCTTTCTTGTTGTTAAAGGATCTGAAGGTCAGTATTAGCAACTATAGTAAAAAAAAAAAAAATCATGAGCAAACTAGTTAGCAGACATTTGCCAGGAAATGAATTGTTTGCAGATTATTTGGCATGAATCCCTGTAGAGAAGCAAATCTGTTCCCACTTCTTTACTCTGCTTTTCCTGCCTGCTCTGTTCCACAGAAGCAAATGTTTAGGTATATTTGAATCCTCCAAACTAGGTGTTTATACTAAACTGACCAAGATAAGTTATAAAGACCAGATGATATTTAAATATTACCCCTTTTTTCTACAGTTGATATCTATATTTAAAAAAATTACAGAAGATTATACTTTTTAAGGTTTTCTCTGTTTGGTATTAAGTTAAAAGTTAAAGAAAGCCATATAACACTTTTATGTGATTTGGGGAATTATTTCTTGAATAGAGGGTTTTTTTTTTTTTTTTTTTTTTGGCTTGTTTTGTTTTTGTTAAAGTCCATTTAAGTCAAAGTTAGTTCCTATGATGCTGCAATTTTGGTGAGTCAGAAACAAACCATATTTGGACTTTCAGTTTTCCACTTTCAATGGCTTCCTCTGTCCTTTTTTTTCAAGCTCAACAAATGTAAAATATTTTAATCAAGTGGAAACAGACAAAAATGTGACTCATTCTACTCGGCTGAGGATTGGTTTGCTGATGTCATCCTAGTTTCTGCCGCCAAATCATTCTAAGGCTTAAGATCAATCTAGGGGATCCTGCATTTTAGTGTAGGAACTAAAGCATTTTGTTCTGAACTGTCTTTATCTCCCTTTTCCCTCTGCTTCATGTTTCCTTTCAAAGAAAAAAAACCTCTTGAATAGTTTCATACTTTTCTTCTGTGTCATAGCACATATATTTCCTTTCATTCTCTGTGTCTCCATTTCACTGCTTAATATATGTTTCTTCTGAAGACTGTTTGCTATGCTTTATGTAGAAAAAAGAGCCATAGGATTTATACTTAACAGCTCAAAAACTCTGCTCACTCTCTTTCTGTAGTCTCCCTTTCAGAGCAGGCATTACCATCTGCTTTCATGACTTTATCTTTGTTCTAAGAACTCTGTTCTGAGAGCTCTGAAATTTGTATCTTTATGTCAACCATTTAAATGATCTGACTCAAATTCACTTTCAACTGACATCACTCCTCACATGTCCCACAGGTTCCTTTAATTCAAAATATTCAAAACTGAATTAATTATTCATACCAGGTACCCAAATTTGATATTTAAAAAAAATTTCCATTATCATTAATAGTTTTATCATCCACCCAGTCACCAAAGTATATCTTTGAATTTAATTTTTTTTCACTTCTCCCTCTCTATGATTCCTTGAATTCAAGAATTCAATCCCTTTTTAGTTGTTAAAAGGAAAGACTTTGGAACCAGAAGACTGGGGTTTAAATCCTGTCTCCACCATTAGTATCTGTGTGCCCTGGTGCCTGTTACTTAAAACCTCACAGTTTTCTTGTCTATAAAATGGAAATAAGTATAGTATCTTATATCATAGGGATTGTGTATATACACAGTGCTTGGTGTATTGTAAGTGCTCCATAAATGTTGACTATTATTTTCATCATCATCTTCACTTCTCCCAGCTTTTTTGATTTACTTTATCTCTTATCTAGAATATTAAAATTGTTTTTTAATTGGTCTTCTAACTTTGGTTCTTATCACTGTATTTTGCAACCCATAGGGAAGTGTTTATGTCAATCAGGGTCCAGTAAGAACAACAGAAGCCACATGTGGACAATTGGAGACATATTGAACAATAAGTTATTAGAAGACGGAAAGAGACATGAGGCTGGAGTATTCAGAAACTTGAAAATTAGAGGAATGGCTTTATGGATGGAAACTCAGACTTGGGGGAATGGGCAGTGCCTGGAAGTTACTGGTACCTCCATGGGGGCCTGAAAAGACTGGCTTTGGGAAGGCCACAAGAAGCCCAAGTACCATGGCAGGGCGACTCTGACAGAAATACGAAGCAAACAGGAAGGAGAGAGTTCACTTTCCCTTTTACGAGTCTTCTAGTGCCCCTTTCCAGTCCCCTACTGGCAGATTCTAACAGAAACAGCTGGCAAGACAGTGATTTGCAGTCTCAGCATTAGCATTCTAGAACAAAGTATAGATGGATGGATTGGAGATGAGTATCAATAGCTTAATAACCAATACAGTATGCTTTCTTAAACACAGATCGTCTCTCCTCCTCAGCTTGGAAATCCCCAGTGGGTCCTCATTGACTGTGGGATGAAGTTCAGACTCTTCATACTCTGGTCACAATCTACTTTTTTCATCACTTTTTCTAATCTTCCCTCTCCTCCCTTATGACTGACTACCCCCACCCCACCTCCTAATTTCTAGTCCCTGCTTCCCATGCCCTTTGCTCTATAGTCCTCAGTTCATTCTCCTGAAACATTTAATGCTTCCATTGTTTTACTTCTGTTGCCTCTTCTGCTTCCTTTATATTTTGACAAAATCCTGTTCATTCTTCAAGAGTAAACTGTTCCATCAAAGTGACTTCCAGATAAAATTAATGACTGATTCCTCTGTACTCCCATAGATTGTCCATTCATTCAAATCAAGTATGCATTAATCCCTTATTATGTTACAGATATTATGCAAAGCATTGTACATACATGGTGAACCAAATGCCCTTGGTCTCTGCTGCATGGAATTTCCTGAGGAAGTGGCTTTTGAACTGGTATTGAAAATAAGTAGGAAAAGAAGGGTGGATTGGAGGAGAACACTAATGGATTTGGTTTCAGATGAGCTGAGTTTGACACTCCTTTAAAACAACCAAGAGGAGAATTAAGAGAACTGTTGTATAAATGAGTGTATAGCTCAAAAGTAAGAGAAAAGTATATTGAGACTCTCTAGCATACACATTCCAATTAAGATTTCGGAGAGAGAGGAGAGTAAAGAAAAGAAGGTGATAGTTAAGTTTTTAATAACTGCAACAAGTAAAGGTTGAGAGAGGGAAACTGACACCAAAAGGAGAGAGTGATCAGAGAAGCAGGAGTAAAAACAGAAACGGGAAAAATTGTAAACAAATGGAGTAGCAACAGTGTTGAATGCTCCCAGGGTTTGATAAGGTAACATGTGGACTTCTGCATGGGACTTAGTGATCACAGGGGGACCCTCTTCAGTGGGAAGGTGGTCCTGCTGCACAGAGTAGAGCAAAGACTGAGGAAGTGAAAGTGAAGACAGCTAATGTAGAGAACTTGTTCAAGAAATTTGGCCAGCAAAAGCAGTGACCCAGGGCACTTATTTCCTTCTATTATACTTATTTATCAGCTTTTCTAAGCTGCTAGAATGTGCACTTCCTGTGGGCAGCTTATTGATCTTTGTAATCTTAGCGCTTAGACCAGAAACTGGCACCTACTGGAAACTTGAAAAAAAAGTTGTATGACTGATGAAGGTCAGCAAAGCAGATTCATTGAAACTGTAAAATAACTGCATGTCTC